GTCCATGTATACATTAGCCAAAAGAGGCGATAGTGGTGATCCCATCGGTAGTCCAAATATTTGCTCATAGCTAATGCCGTTGAATGTGAAATATGTTGTCAAGTTGATTAGATCCGAAGGTCGATTCTACCAGAAGACGACGGCGGATTCCTCTTGACCAGCTGTCGATTGGCTCTACTGGAACATTCCTAATGGCGCTGTTTCCGAGGTAATCTCATTCGTTTCCGAATAAAAGATGCCAATCTTTCGTCCGTCATATGACGGACATCATCAGAGCAAAGTATCATCGTCACAACCAAATTCAATCGCCGGCAAATCCATAAAAAGCGGTATATATATACTCTATATCTGACCTTTTTATGAGGTATAAAGTGCTTTGATTGGTTCCAGTCATATGTCGACCTCGGAGTTTTCTTGACTCGTTAACTTGAATTTGGTTGTGACGATGATACCTTGCTCTGATGATGTTCGTCATATGACGGACGAAAGGTTGGCATCTTTTCATCGGAAACGAGTGAGATTACTTCGGAAACAGCGCCATTAGGAATGTTCCAGTAGAGCCAACCGACAGCTGGTCAAGAGGAATCCGGCGTCGTCTTCTGGTGGAATCGACCTTTGAATCTCTTCACCAAACACTTTCACTCGAAATAGAAGTAAGCACAACAATTATGAATCAAGAGATTCCTCGAAACCCAACTTTTATTCGCATATATTGTATATATATATGATTTCTAAACCTGCGTATAAGCGAAAAAAGTAATATAGTCAATTACAATTGACAATTGGTTTTATTCATGCGACATCCGACCACAGAAAGTGATATGAAAAAGGCCTGGCCTTTGACCAAAACCTTTTTGACAGTGTGGCGTAGTATTTAACACGCAATACCAGGACCCAGGCTCGGTTCCCAACGGTGATGCTGTTGAAACTGCAGTCCAGTTCAGCCAGGGCAATCAAGGCCATGTGAAATTCAGTGTAAACATGAGGCTTCATACGATTGTGGTAAAATTAAAGTACTGCTCCCGCGTAACCTTACCATTTCTGTACAACAGTTAGTTTGGCCTGGAAACGACTGCTCGACTTGTACTTTGTCTTCCGGCAGCGGGACAGCCTCACTCCCGGACAATTTGGTTCCTTGCCTGACAGGTTTGCTCAAATCTGTGCTTGGTCTGTTGTGCATTGGCGTGGTTTGCCGTTCCCAACACGTACCGGTTTGGGCTGCCGACGAGTCTA